GTGTAAGATATGACAAAATAATAATTTATAAATTATCAAGGGTTCATGGGGGAGGGGCAGTGGAGAGGGAGGAGAAAAACAAGGCGCTGATACCTAGGGCTCAAGTACAAAGCAAATGTTTTGAGAATGATGAGGGAAGCATGTACAAAAGTGCTGGACACACTGGATGGATGGATGGATTGTGATGAGTTGTACGAGCCCCCAATAAAATGATTTTTTTTAAAATCTGCCATTGAGAAAGTCCTGAAATGGAGCTCTACGCTGACACACAAGGAGTCCACTCGGGTCTGGGTGAACATCATGCATCTGGTGCTGGTGTCTGCACAGGTTCACAGTCAAATGATTTTCAAGGAGTGTGCAGCCTAATGAAAAGCACACAGATCCCTAAAATACAATCGGAGGGGCTCCAGAATGTTGGTGGGAAATGTCCATTGGTTTTTCATTCAGATTCCCCACAGACCTTTTGGAGCACGTTCGTGTGCATTGACTGTGTGTTAGCTGAGTGATGGTGTAAAAGGAGCCCCGGATGCGCGATGCATGGACACGGGCGCTAATGAACACGCTGGCTGTTGGGATCGGCCAGCAGCTCCGAGGAAGAAGACCTAGCTAAAGAAGACTATTGCTGGGTGCTCCAAAGAAGGCTTTGACTCACAGGGCCCCGGGTGACAGCCTTGAACTGCTCCGTGGAGACTCCTAGGCTGTTCCCGTGATGCAAGCAGACTGCCAAGCCTCTTGTCCTGTGAGGTCGCTGGTGGTTTCAAACTGCTGATGCATTAGCTCCCAGTCAAGCAAGGGAATCACCAGAGCTCCCTACTGGATGGCTTTCAGTTGGAATGGACTGGACAGCACACAACATCACTGCTGTTATTCTTAGGCGCCATCGAGTCCGTTCCAACCCACAGTGACCTGATGCACAACAGAAAAGAAGCACCCCTGGTCCTGCACCCTCCTCACCATTGCCTCCATGCCTGAGCCCACAGTTGTGGCCACTGTGTCCATCCATCCATCCATCCTTCCCCTTTCGCTGCCCCTCTGCTTGACCAAGCGGGATGTCCTTTTCAGGGACGACACCATTACACACACGTATACGGGGGCACAAACAGGGTCTGGCTGTTCAAACACATCCAGGGAGGTGCCACAGAGGGAAGGTTTGTCGCTTTGCTGCTGCAAGTCCGCAGCCTGGAACCCCCCAAGGAGCGGGTCTGCTCTCCACATAGGGTACCCTGAGTGGCCCCCGAGTCAGCAACATTAACAACCAGCACAGTCATCAGCCCTGGAAGAGGTGTACTGAAGCCAGTCGGCTGAAACCCGAGAGAAAGACATGGTGGGAAGCATGTGTCCTTAAACAGCAAAAGGAAGGCCGTCCTGGCAGTTTTTTCCCCACGATTAAAGTGAACAGATGGATCTTAATAGCAAACCACCCGAACGAAGTGTGTCGCCTCCACTCCTGCACGGACAATACTGACAACTCAAGGGAAGAACACTTGGGGGCGAAAAGAAGGCTCCGTGCCGGAGCCCCGGAATCACCGGGCAGAGAACAGTGATGCAGGAGGAGCAGCTGTTTCCAGTGAAACACACTGGTGTTTTTTGTTTGGTTTTGGTTTTTAATCATTTTATTGGGCCTTATACACCTCTTACCACAATCCACATGCGTCAATTATGGAAAGCACACTTATACATTCGTTGACTTCATCATTCTCAAAACACTCGCTTTCCGCTTGGGCTCCTGGCATCAGCTCATTTTTCTTCCCCCACCCTCTCCCTCCCCGATCCCCTGTCCCTCATGAACCCTTGATAATTTATAAATTATTATTTCATCATCTCTTACACTGCCCGGCATCTCCCTTCACCCACTTTTCTGTTGCCCATCCCCCAGGGAGAAGGTTACATGTAGATCCTTGTAACCAGTTCCCCTTTTCTACCCCCCTTCC